ATAAATCATTTTTATTTTCAGCTGATTAATCAGGTAATGAAATATAAAACGTTTGTTTGACAAATTATACCAATTACATGTAGTAATATATTGTGATCTTTAATTACGGCTATTGCAGTTAAAGGTAATGGTTTTTAGAAAACATTAAAATCTATTGGTTTATAACTGGCCTTATATTTGTCAATTTTATCAATTGATATGAATGATGTACAATTGAAAGATGATATACATGTAAATATGAATATAATGTATATACATATACCATTACTATAATGGGTAAATTTAACGATTTCATATCTTAACATTTCAATAAACGTCCTTTTCTGACACATTTATAAACCCATACAAATGGTTGTTTTTCAAAATATATACATCATTTCACTGTGTAAATATCGTTAAAAAGAGAAATAAAATCATAATATTTTATTCATAAAGTTACAAATATATCTCACACAAGGTAATTTTAATATTCCATAAAAAGATTTAACAATATCTTAAAGTGACATTATGCTCATATTGTCATAGTCAAGATGAGCTTAATTTACTTTATATTTCAAAAGATTGACTGTTAAAATGGTGTTTGACCAACAGATGATATTTGAAAATATTTAGGAAAAAATTATATATCTGCCTTAAATATAAAAAGACTGCCCCACTCTTACACGTATAATGGATATTTACAGAGAATTCCTTAGGATCTGTGCTTTATTTATTGTTTTTGCAAAGTCATTATTTATTAAATCAAAATGAAAACTTATTTAATATATATTAACATGTTCACTCACTATATACCCTTGGATGGGCAAAATGTCACTTTAAGATGTAGGTAAGTGTTTCTGCCTTATTTTTAGTGTGACATTTAAGTACCGTTCTGTCAATACAAATAACGTGAAGTGTCTTTACAATGTGGAGAGCTATAAAATACATGCATATACATTTGTATGCATGTGAAGTTTAGTAAATGCCAAATATTTATTAGGTAACATTAAAAATAGTATAAACACGTTCGATCAATTGTTTTACAAGACATTTTTGTATGCAAAGCATCAAACGAAAACCTTTATGTTTTGATTTACAATCTGACAAATAAAACTTAAAGGACTGGTAGTGTTTGCTAAAACTTCAAAAATGGCACATCTGTTCCAATGGTTATGTTCAAAAAGAATCTAATAAGACTGAAATAAAGAAAAAAACAATTGACAAGTATAATCGAGTTCTAATAATATAAGACACTTTTCCGGTAGTTCAATATATCACAGTTTTCCGATTTAATGATTTTTGGCGGAGTTAAGGGCCTTGAATAAAATGGTGTTTTTTGTGCGTTGCCAGTGACACAGGAGCGTGTCTGGCCTAATACTCAGAATAGTCTGAATCTACTGGTGCAATTTCATCTAAACTGTACAGGAATGACCAATACTAAGTCTTGTTGTTAATATTGTCGGTATTTTCCGGTTTATATTTTTTGTTAGAGATATTGCCCTTCAACAATTTTATTTTTAAAATTTGTCCGATATACATATACTTCTCTTATAACACTTATGCAATTTAAAGTAAAGGTTACAGTATTGATCGGTAGCTCAAGTTGTGCATATTGCACGGATTTACCGGTTAAATAATTTTGGCTGAGCTATGACCTTTGAATAAAAAAGCGTTTTGCCCAGTGAATGATATTTTGCAACATGCAACTGGCTATCATGAGGCGACACATGGGATGACTAATCGCTCTTGTATGGATTTCAGAGTAAGAGTGTGTAAGAGCGCGTTTTATTTCAATAAATTACTTTTAGTCTTCTATAAAAAGATGATAAGAAAAAGAAGTAATGTGTGTTCAATATTTTTCATTAAATTGTCTATTTTCAGTTATGAGTTCTGGTTGTTGTATTGTAAAAAATAGTCTTAGAGTAAAAACAACCATTTGATTATTTCTTTATTTTTCCTGATTTGCTACTTTGATAATTATTTTAATAATTAGTAAATATATTATTAGCACTTTGATGTTGATATAGACTGTAGAAATGAACAAAATCAATTGATATATATTACCATTCTATTGTAAAATAATCAGATAATGAAATATTAAACTATGAAATGCAAATAAGACAAGTCGTTTGCTTGACAAATTATACCAATTGCATGTAGTTATTATTATCTTCAATTACTGCTATTGCAGTTAAAGGTCATGATTGTGAGAAAACGTTAAAATCTATTGGTTAAAAACTGGCCTTATATTTGTCAATTATATCAATTGATATAAATTATTTTTTATCATCTCTCTTAAACTAAAATTTACATTAGTATATAAGATGTATGTAAATAGTATGTTTTTTTTTAAAAAGAAAACTTAGAAATATTTGATACTATTGCAGTGCTTGAATAAATTTGAAGCTATTATGTTTTTTTACTGGACAATATCAACATTACGTCGTTAATGTGATGGTTTCTGTATTGCTTTTATCCTAGTACAAAAATATAGCAAAACTGAAACATGAAACTGAACTGCATCAAATACATATAATGAAAATCACAGAGCTTTACAGTTGGCATTGGCCTAGAGTGATAATACAGTATGGCCAATCACACCTTGACTTCGAGTGTAAAGAAATATCTATTATATGTTAAAGTATTGTAATACTCAAATATAGCCGTCTACCCGTTTACCTGTTTTGTTTTTCTTCGCTCTCCTACCACCTGATACCTTTTCAAATTCAGGTAAGTATTGAGATAAACTTCTTAAAGGCTAAAAAACAGATAATGGATTTCCAGCAGGTACAAAAGATTGGGATGATACAAGAGATCTGCTAGTTTAAACTTAATCAATATTTGTTAATCAATATTTCATACCATATCGATTTCTTAAACATGATCTGGCAATTAGTACAGTGGTGTATAAGTTTCGTAGATACAACTGTTAAGAAAGTCAGGCGCATGTACATGCACTTATTAAATTTCAAAGTATTTATTACTTTAACTGGATAGATACGCATATTTCCAGGTAATTTATGTTTTAATAAAACTGTTTTTTTCTTCTATATGACTGAAATAAAAACAACAAAAAACAGAGATTTTCATGTATAAACGAGTTCTAAAAATATAAGACACATTTTGCCATCTACAGCTATAGCAGTTAAATTTAACTAGCCAGAGTTTCAAAATTTTAATTTCAGTTTTGACATTATTGTAGTTTAAGGTGTTTTATATACAACTTATCAGGAGACATTCAGAACCAAACAAATTACTGTAAATGTAGAATATCCATTAGGCAGGGTTCGTTATAGTTCATTTAATATACAAAATAAAAGATAAAAAAACAGCAGCTAAAACACCAACATACGATCATTAAACTTACGGATAAAAAACCAAGGTTTTTGTTGTTATTATTTTGTCGTACAAGTCATTTCTGCTATTGAGAACTTCATAGGAAAGCATATTAATATGATTCAATTTTTAGTTTCAGCTGATCTCGTAGCAAAGATAATTAAAGATATGAAAATATTTCATTAAGTTTAATCAATAGAATAAGAAAATCAAGCTTGATAAGCAGTACCCCTAAAAACGCTTTCGGAAGTTTTTATACAGACATATATATGGTGGTTGATTTCTGCCATACATAAACAAACAAAAAATAAAAACGTTGAAAAGAATTTCTTAAAATTGGCTTTTTCCTTTCCCATGTGAGTTCCTTTTAATGGCCTTTTTTAAATGAACTTAAAGTCCCTTTATTCAAAGTGAAAATTTTAAACAGAAATAAGATATGGAATTACCTTTAACTACGTGTTGTGATCAACAATGAAAAGAAAAACATAATCCAGAAGTAAAAGCAAGACTTTAAAGGATGCGTTTAATTACTTGCCTTTGAAATAAACTGTCAGAAGTATAACATTCTGATTCAAGAGCAGATAACTCAGAATTGAGAACGGTTATCCCCAAATTTGTTTGGCTTAAAATGTTTCTAGCATACTATTCTTACAATATATCAAGCTTAAAGAAGTTCTATTGAATAGTTTTAATTTTGCCTACGTGTCTATATGAAAACTCCAGAAAAAGTCCTTACAGTGAAAATAAAAGATAAAACGTAGATACATTATTTATGGTAATAGATAAATTTGATCATTAGCCGGATGTAAAAAATAGAAAAAAGAAATAAACTGACTTATCTTTTCAAGGCAGTATCATAGTATGCTTATCACGACAATAACACCTTTTGAACGCTATGTTTCCGATACGTTAAACAACATCTATTGATTTTTTTTAATGTCGAATTTTCCAAATAAAAAATATCAGCTGTTACATCATATTGAAAGTTTTGGTTTTATGTTTATAGTATGGCGACACTTGATAACGAGAGATATTTAAGGCATATATGGCTTATTGGCGAGGGAGGCTTGCTTCTGTTGAGACGCATTGTAATGAAAGAAGCAGGAAATAACCGTCAAAACCTCGAGGCTCTATTATTGAATCATAAAGCAGAGTTTGATAATGTTTTAAGAGAGCAACAGCAACGTATTTTCCCATCTCAAACAACTGTTAATGCGGATGTCAACACTTGGGATATGTCGCTTCTATTATTGGTGTTGAAAAAAATGTTTTGGCACAATCTTTCGCCAACCGATCGATCTGGCATTGCTACTATAAAATATCATCGAAATCACATCCAAGGTCACCCACTTGAGATGTCTATGAATGCATCTGATTATGATACAAGTAGACAACTGCTAGAGCAATCCTTTCGAAATCTTGCAACTGGTGTTAATGCAACGGCTGAAATAGATAACGTGATTGGAAGAACAGCATCGGGAAATATTGATGTCCAATTTGCTTTGCAAACTATTAGAGATATGAATGAATTCAAAAATAGCACTGTTTGTGCTCTACAAGAAAGCTTTGAGCGGGTCCGTTCGGAAATGTCTCAGATGAATGATTCCATCGAAGACATTAAAGGTAAAGTTATTTATCATTTGCTTTCCACCACAACAGAATATTTGTATATTGTTATGAAATAGTTTGTCTTCACAGCTTATAATTTTTAAACAATTTATTCATATACATGCATTTATTACTTTTATCTAAATGGATTAGCGAATGAGATGTATGAAGGAAATCAAGCATCCTAGAAATTATTCCCAATATTTTCAGGTCATGTTGAAAATATCGGAACGGTTCAAACAATTCAGCATGATGAATTGATGCGATCGCTAAATGAAGAAGGGCAGCAATTAAAACAACTCTTGACAGAAATGAAAGGTGAGGCAAAACTTAATTTTGTTTGTGTTTGAAAATGAACATACATACCACAATTAAATTGCCGATACAAACTGTTATTGCAACAAAATTGCTAGAATATCTAAAACCACATTCTAATTCGTCATGTTAAAAATAAGTTGTGGTTTGTTAACTTTTAATATTTTAGAGGAAAAGTATATAAATTAATATTAAAATGACTTCAGTTTTGGAACAAAACTTCACAAAGAAACCTTTTCTTTCTAGTCAATAACAAGCGCTCTATCAGTGTATATTCACCAACTATACAAAATTCCATTGCATCGAATCAATTAATATACAATGTAACGTTGGTGTCACCACTTAAAGAGGATTGACCTACAATGGTTTCTTTTTCCAAAAGCATTTCTAATATTGATTGGAAATTCTTACAGAATACTGCTTGAAAAAGTGCTTTAGTATGACCATTTATATGATCAATAAAATATCTTGTTCCAGGATATTCTATTTTCTGCTATATAAATAGAGGATATTGAAAGAGTGTTAGTTCAATATTGAATTTATTACACGAGTCGAATGAAATTATATTATGCAAGCCTCTAATTTTATTCAACGAGTGCAATAAATTCAGTAATGAACTTACACAAATTTAATATTCTATTTATCACATACGCAAAATAAAGACCGTTTAAAGTGAAATAAGAGTCATTCTTCATTTACGCGCCAATAGTATAACGCTAACATTAAGCGCGCCTTTACACTATGTTTGTATAACGCTAATGACGTCACGTCAAAATATATGCACGGCCGTGCAATACCATATTTACGGAGTCGCAAAATTGGCAAGGGTGTGTGATAAATGTACGTACTATACGTGTACGTACGAATCCTTTTTCTCAAACTTTGCCAACAACATCCATATAGAATTTGTACGTGGTTGGTTATTATTGCTGATACTAAATGATATCAACTTTATTATTTTTGGTATAACACACCTTACATTACATACAGTAAATTTAGATTTTTCCTTATGAATGTTCTGTCTTTAATGAGTAAAATCTTGTTTAGGGTATTACATCGAAGATTATTATAGTGTAATTATAAAAGATTACTTTACCATGGTAATAGCTGAATTTAGCAGCGACATTATTTATTATGCGTTTGATTTTACTGTTGTAGTCGTAGTACAATTGTGTATATAATGGTTTCGTCTTTTCCATGTTTATTTAGGAAAATCAATACTTTGCTTAAAGATATACTATGCTTAAATTTGATATCAGGAAGTACTGGTAATTGCTAAACAGTCTTGTTGTAAATATAAAATAAACATGTTTTGACTACACACAAAGTAGGTTTAAAACTCTACATAGTATAGGTGGTCACAACATGAATATATAGTGTCGTTCAAAAAACAACAAAAAACAAAACTGGCAGTTGTTTTAAGAAAGCACCACATTTAAAAAATTTCTTTGATTAAAATATTTTACTCAAAGATTAGCAAAGTATATCTTTAAATACGTTTTTTATATATGATAAGCATGTACGGAGTATAAGAAAAGACATAAGCAAGAATGTCATTACAGCTCACGAGACTACAAAGGCTCAATATAACTCCTTAGATGAAAGATGACTTATATTTCATCTGACAGTTCTTTGAGCCAATCAGTGTTCTGATCTGCATGATCACGGCATGCGGTGCCTTTGATGTGACAGATGTCTAAAACAAAATTCAATACACACAGGTTGGAAAGGAGTCCCGACAGAACAGTGCAAATTGAGTATAAAGTAAAGTTCGATATAACACAACCTGTCATGGACTGGGAGCAACTTGTGTTTTTATTTTTTTTATTTTTTTTTTGTTAAAATTTAATCATTGAAAGGTACTACAGTAATGCAAACAAATAAATTAAACTTGTTCTTGATGCTTTACTTTTAGTTTGAAATTAGCAAAATACTTGTAAATCCTCTCAAAATTTACAATAATCAATGTTCTCATTATTTACTCCTTTATTTATGTAATAGGCAAAAACTATTTATTTTTAAAACTATCATTGCATGAAAGCTTTTTTCCTTCAAAAAGTCATCCAAACCAGATCAATCTGGAATAGAGCCTTATCATTATATGTAAATTTTAAAGACCTTCAGATGATGAGTGGCTCTATTTCAGTGAATCCTGGACTACCATGGAAGACATTTCCCTTGTTCCTACTTAATTTCTTACCCTTAGCCACTGGAGCAGGTTTAAACCATGGAAACAGTGCGCTTTATCATATTCCGTTTCTGTCTGTGTAAAATACATTAATTATGTTCATGGTAACAGTCCTACTGTTATAAACTCTTTGAAGCCTCTCAGCAATTTTTCAAAAGGGCTCAAAAACTTTATTAGCTGTATGTAAAACAAGGCAATATCCTGTATGTGAAAAAAGAATATGAAATCAATATGAAAAAGGGTGTCGCACTCCCTTGTTAATCTTTACTTTAATGTGAGGATCTCTGGCATTTTGGAGGGATCCCTAACGTGGAATCCCTGGCAAAAACAGCATTGAACCCTGTTATACCGGCAAGCAATGTTAACAGTGGTTTGATTAGATAGTGTGCTAGTAAGTGGTCAATCACATGTGTTTTTACAATTGTTAACCAAGAAAAAAAATGAGAAAAAAACAAAAGATTGATTTGTTACTTTATTTTCATAGATCTACAATCAAGTAAATCCCTAACTATAATGATACGTGTATTATGATTTTTGCATGACCAATTTGTTTAGTTTTGTAATTCAGTAGTTCTTGTTTATACATGCAATTGACATTTCCTTGAAAAACTAAATCTGGACTCAAAAGACTATGACTAGATTTCAAAAGACATGTTTACAAATTATGGGATTGTCTCAACATTTGAGTTCAGCTTCATTTTAGACATAAATTTCCTATATTTTTGACAGGTTCAAAATATTAAATTCTATTCCAAGAATAACACAGATATCATGATTTTACATATATTTTTTCAAAATTTCCCGAGGCTGCATGCCCCCGGACCGCCCTAGAAAATTCCTACCTTCGGTGCTCAAATCAAGCGGCCTCAACAATTTCTGAAAAGGCCTTCTAGTAAAAGCCCTGATAATTCTAAACACGCAACGATGAGCAGTACATGGTAAACTTTTTTAGTACTTTAAAGAATAATTCAATGGTATGAAAGTCTCATTTTGCTCCCACCTCAAGCTGTGCAAAGAAGATGCTATTTTGACTTCCAGGAAATGCATGGTTACTATGAAAATATTATTTAAAAAATAAGTATGACAAGTATTACATCGACTTAAAGATGTTATATTTCTATCATTTAATATTATACAGTAAAAACATTTTGTGTTTGCATGGCTATTGTGATTTTGGTTCCTTCTATTTGATCTTTTTCTGGATGAGTGGTTCCAATATTCCTAATTATGTCTCCCAATATTTTGGGAGACATATTGTTTTTGCCTTCGTCGTCAGTCCGTTGGTCCGTCCGTCGACCCGGTCGTCTGTCTGGTTGTCCGTCCGTCCGCATTAATCTTGTCCGGACTTTACAGTTCAAACTACTGGTGGGATTTCAAGCAAACTTTACAGGAGTGATTAGTATCATCCCTAGTTGTGAACACAACCGACACATTTCGCTTCGCCGCACAGAATGGCTGTCAGAGCTATAAATAGAAAAATCTTATCTGACTTTCACATATAGAACTTCTAGTTGTATTTCAGTGAAACTTCACAGGAGTGAACAATACTATCCCTAGTTGTGAATATCGCTGATATGTTCTGCTACGCTGCACTAAATGTCCGCCAGAGCTATAAATAGAAAAATCTTGCCCAGCTTTCACAAGTCAAGCTGCTGGTGGCATTTCAATGAAAACTGCACAGAAGTGTTCAGTACCACCAACACTTGTGTATATCGTCGGCATGTTCTGCCTCGATGCTCAAAATGGCTGCCAGAGCTAAAAATAGAAAAATTCTGTCCAGCTACCACTGGTCAAACTGCTGGCGGGATTTCCAACAAAATTAACAGGAGATCAGTACTATCCCTTGTTGTGCATATTACGGCATGTTTCGCTTTGCTGCACAAAATGACCCTCAGAGCAAAAATAGAAAATTCCTGTCCGGCTTACATGTCAAGCTACTGGTGGGATTTCGATGAAACTTCATGTGAGTGATCATTACCATCCCTTGTTGTGCGTAGTGTCTGCATGTTCAGCTCCGCTGTACAAAATGGCTGCCAGAGCTAAAAAAGAAAAACTCCTGTCAGGCTATCACAGGTCAAACTGCTGGCGGTATTTCTACCAAAGATTTTATGACAAAAACCCTTCTAGTTAAAAATTGTTTTTCAGCCTTAGGACGCGTTGCCTGCTTTTAAGACCAATAATGGTTTATCCGGAGAGGACTTTACCCTCTGCTTGTCTGTCAGCTCGTCCGACCGTCCACAAAATTTGATCCCCTGATTACGAAAAAAATTCTGAAAATATTTTTATGAATCTTAAAATATGGGAAGATGACATTCTTGAGATTATGTACTTCTTTGTTCTTCCTTTGTTGAATAATTCGGTTGCTATGGCAACAAATAGGCTTAAAATATAGCAAATATAACAACATTTGTTATAACTCAAAAAGTACTGAAAACATTATTATGAAACTTCAAATATGGATAGGCGACAGTATGAAAATTATGCTTATCATTTAAGCTATCACCCTAATCAAATGTGGCAAGGTTTGTTTTTCTCGCACATATATTATTAGTTTTATTATCCGTGAATTTTTTCATGAAATGGCATCTACTTCACACTTCAAATATCTCTTCGTTATCACCACTCAAATCATTTGTGAGAAGAACAATCAGTACCCGAGATTGCCTACGTCTAGAGTTATATCCACCTTGAACTTAGATTTTTTCTAAAAATTATAATTTTTTACCCAACCTTCATTTATTGAATGATTACTTCAAACTCCCACATCATAATAATGTGAGGTTTATAAATCTAGCGTTCCATATTGCTATAAAAATGGTTTGGTTACTTTAAATGGTATGTATTTTT